TCAGCCAAGCTGCCCAAGTCCTTCTCCAGCCCCGGAGGCCCCTCCAAGCCAAAGAAGTCGAGGCCCCCGCCGGAGCCGGAGCCGGTAAGCGGTGAGCTGGGCGCTGGGTCCTTCCTCCAACCGCACTGGCCCTCTGCCGGTCAGCTGGGGGCGGCAGGCTCGCTGGGGGCGTTTCACCTCACGGAAGTGACCTTTTGGTTTGGTTTGTCTTAAATTGGCTGCATCGAGGCACCTTTTAATGTGGTTTGATAGGTTTTGACAAACTCGTGTGCCCCGTGGCCCCTGCCTCCCCTGTGGCCCTCGGCCTGGGTGTGGGACTCAGAACACTCCTGTCCCGGGCGGTGCCTCTGCCGGTCGGCGGTGTTGACGTGCCGGAGGCTTGGGCCTTGGCTGCCCCGCTGGCCGTCCGCCCTGCAGTAGGCAGGCCCGGGACGCAGAGGCTGAGCTCGCGGTGCTGTCTGCAGCCAGCGCCTCGGTGTGGCCCTCCCGTCCAATCAGCTTTGGGGTACAGTTTGCTGCATGGACACGGCTGCGGCCAGTTCTGTGAGCGGCACTTTGCCTCCTTGGTGCTGACCAGTCTCTGCGCGCCTCTGACTCACGCGTCACCCACTTCCTTCCGAGTCCCACCGCCCCCTCGGTCGCCCACCCCCCGCTCCCCTGACCACACCCCGACCTGAGCGGTGGGAGGCCCACATTCTGGTCCCGCTGAGCAGGCAGGCACAGGTCCTCCCGGTCAGACCGCCTGGCCCAGGCCTCGCCCTGGCAGCTGCAGCCACCTGGGCGCTCCGGGAGGGAAGATGGGCTCGGGCCCCTATCAGGTCGGTTCTCCCGGGTGGCAGCGCTGGACTTCTCGGAGCCCTCTGGAACCTTCTCCAGCGGTGTTCCTGCGTCACAGCGGCGTCCGTGGGACAGGCAGCGTCGGCCCAGAGGCTGTGCGTGTGGGCCCCTCTGCCCGGCTGCTGCTTCACCTCCTGGGCAGCCCCAGGCTCCCCCGCCTCCGGCCGACTCTCAGTACTGGGAACACCAAAGGGGAGACCTTGCCCTGGGACCAGCCTGGCTCTCCAGCCTGGGCTGCGCCGCGCACCCCCCCAACCCCGTCCCGTGTCGTGGAAGCTGTGCCCTGTGAGTGGGCGGCGCCCTGAGATGCTGCCGCTGCGTCTGTGCTCAGGGCTCAGCTCCCAGCTTCCCGGGCCCTTTGCTTCCACGCAGAGTGGCTCCCCCTGCACCTGCATCGGCTCGTACAAGGCCCACGCGGGGCTTTAGAGGAGGAGGAGGATTCCTTTCCAGGCCCCTTTCCAGGCGGAGAGCCACTGCGGGAGGCTCGGGCTGTGTGAGGGCTGGTTCGGACGCCCGCGTGCCGGCGTATGCGATGCGCTGGTCTGCACCCGCGCGCTGCCCCCTGTCACTCCCAGGAGCGTGGTGTCTGTCAGCCGTGGCTCCGCAGATATTGTCAGTTTCATCTCCTTCATATCCTGGTCTTAACTCTCCTTGTTCTCCGGTGTTTGTTGGAAAGCACCTTGTCTGACCTTGAGGGGTGACCCGTCGTGTACCTGAAGTGTTACGTGAGCTGTGGGAGCTTTTACCAAGTTAACAGTTTCTATTCCTAATTTTCTGAGAAACTTTTTTTTATCATAAGTAGGTGTTGAGCTTTAGCAACTGCTTTTCTACGTGGAAACAATTGTCTGTCCTCCCAGTGCAGCCACGTGGTGAGGTGCGGTCGGTCCGTGGGGCCAGGGACCGCCTTGCATTCCAGGGTCTGTGCCTGTTCAGTGAGAGCTTCCTTGTCACCACACGTGGGTCCGGTTCAGCCGCGTTTCAGCTCCGAGTCTTTGTGTCCTGAGTGAAGCAGACTGTGGAGGCCGTGGGCTGGAGGCCCCGCCCCGTCTCCTCTGGGGCCCCTCACTCCTGCCTCCAGGTCACACCTGGGGAGCCTGGGGGGGGGGGGGGACGGAGTGGAGCCCGGGTCCTGCAGAGGAGGCAGCAGCCAGATTCCCTCCGGCTCCCCCACCGCCCGTGGTGTCTCCTGCTGAGTGGACAGGGAGGGGCAGGGCCAAGGCCGTCCTGAGCTCCGTGAATGTTTATCCTGGGGGGCAGTGGCTGATGTTTGGGCCGAGTTAGAAGCCAGTGCACATCCCCAGTCAGAATCGGTGGCCGAAAGCAGGCCCATGTGGTGGGTTGAGCCCGTGCTGGGGGTCTGCACTTCTGGGGGGACCCTGCGTTGGGGGGCCAGGACTGGCTGCCTCCCTCTGGGGCTGCATGGAGGGGGGCCTGGCTGTCTGTGTCTCTTGGGAACCTGCTGACTGTCCCAGGGGCACCCAGGGTGGCGTGGGCTTGTGCTCCCCGCAGGGGGTGCTGTCAGGGCCCAGGATCCCTGCACCCCCAGCACTGACCCCGGCCCCGGGCAGGGGGGCCGCCTGGCCGCCAGCAGCGCTGCCTTTGATCTGGGAGCCCCAGCAGCTGGTTGGTGGGGCGTCCCCGCCCGCCTCGTGCCTCCCGTCACTGACAGCCGCACACCCAGGGGCCGGCCAGCCACATGGTGTCTGCTTTGTGTCCCTTTCAGTGTTGGGGGAGGGGGAGGAACAAAACAGAACTTTTGGGGGAACTTCAAAGGTGCATTTCAGGGATGAGAAAGCTCCCGAGTTTCCCATTAATGCTCAGCCTCGTGTGGTTTTTGAATTTAAATAAAGAGTCAAAAGAGACAGGATGAAATAGAGGCAGGTCCTCGCGAGGCTGGGATGGTTTACAGACCCGGGCGGCTCCTGCCTTTGATGTTGGAACATTAATTATTAGAAGGTAGTTTAACTGGCCATTGGGACGGGCGGGAGGCGGGCTGCCTGGCGGCCCCTGGCCTGTCCTTTGAAGTCCTTCCCCAGCCCGGGGGCCGCCCCTCAGCTCCGCACAGGGCAGCATCCCAGCGGGCGCCCACAGCTGGCACGGGAGCCTGATCAAAGTCCTGCTCCCTGGGCGACGGGCTGACAGTGGTCCCCCTGCGCCCGTCACCCTCCAGGGGGTGGTCTCCCCCGCCCAGACCCGGGCACTTCCTCCGCACCCGTCTCAGGGCCACGTCGGCCTTGCCTCTGGCCGCCCGCTCCCTGGGAGGAGCCCAGTCGTATAGAGAGTGGTCCCCTCGCTACCATCCTCCTCTCGTCCGGGCGGGGCCCTTGCCCCCAGGCCCTTCCCCCAGGGGCCAGCC